GCGAGGACGAGCCTCGAGCCTCAGAAGCGCCCCCAAGAAGGTGCGAAGGGGGACCCGCCAGCCCAGCAGGCGCCCAGGGCGGCCGTGCGGCGCATGCGCAGGCGTTAGTCCGCGCCGGCGGCGGGGCGGTGGGAGGGGCTCTGGGGTTTCAAGAGAACGCCACGCCCCCCGCCCGCGCCGCCGCCTCCACCGGGTGCGGCGCCGGCAGAAAGTCGGAAAGTAGTCACTTCCGCCGGTGCTGCTGTCTGCATCCGGGTCAGCTACGCCGCTGCCGCTACAGCCGCCTCTGTGACCCGGGTACTGGGCCTGGGTCTCCACTGCGGTCCGAGGGGAGTGGGCTCCGCTCGGCGCTACCTTCTGCGACCTGGCCGTCAGCCCCACGTCGCCGGCCTGGAGGGGCGAAGAAGACGAGGGGGCCAAGGCTTCCTCCGGGGTGAGTGCGGCCCGGGAAGGCTGGGCACGGCGGGTCTGGGCTGGGAGCAAGCCTGGGGGCGCGAGCGTCTGAGGGGCGCGTGGCCCCGGAGGGCCGAAGACAGGAGGCCCACAGGGTTATTCTTTCGGGGGGGGGGCACCACAGAACTTGCCCGGAGGCGCTTCCCGGATCTTAGGTCCCCGCCCTTGGCTCTGCTCCTGTTTGCATTTGCCATCCTTGCTCCTCCACCCCCTTTTCCGTTTATGGTGGCTGTGCTCCGGATGGAAACTGGCCCCTTCTCGGCCCCCCCTGCACGCACCCGGGTCTGGGTGCGGTGACTGGGCCACGTTGGTCTCCTGTTTATGACCAGCGTCCGTCCCGGTGCAGAACAAAGAAACTTGGACTTCTGATGTGCCTCGTACCCTCGGAGAATAAACACGGAAGCGGCGGTTGTAATCGGGGCTCTCGTAGACCTTCCTGCGTGAAAAGCTGTGTTCCTGCGTGCGTTCAGACCCTACCTTTTTCCTAAATAACTGACCAAAATGGGTTCGGTTTCCCGGGTGCATCTGATGCCACTAGAGATCTAGATCAGCTGATGTTAAATAAAAACTTAAGTTGGTTCTGTTACGTTGCTTTGAAACTTACCTTGTCTGTCCCGGGAGCTCTTTGAGGGCCCAGCTTTTGTCGTGTTCATATAGGTCAGGGGTGGGGGGCCCGCAGGCCGTATAGGGCCGGGAAATCATTTGGTCTGGCCCTGCCAAGACCTCACCAGCGAGAAGTAGTTCCAGCCATCACATTAGGGGTGAGTTAATGAAATGTTTGACCAAATATAGCAGCCTAATTTTTAAGTTGGTAATTTTATCTGACCTTGGAATGATGTTATAAATAGCCAAATGGCCCTTAGCAGAAAAAAGGTTCCCCACCCTTGATCTAGGTAGTCATAGCTCCTTCCACATAGTTGAAGAGTGTGATGGCATTTTAGTGTTGCTTTTTTTCATCCTCACCTTTTAAAATTAGGATCTCTGTTTTTCCTAATGCTTAATTTTTTTAAATTAAATGTATTCTTTCTCTGAGATTTTGTAATTCTGCGACTTGTAAATAAGATTCCTCAAAATTGTAAGTTACCCAATTTAGTTACCCTCAGACTGTTTTCTTGATGATCTTACACTCCTAATTTCTTGTCATTTTACATTTTTTTTTAACTCTAATTCTTAGTCTTCATAATCTTCTCTATTGCAGCCTAATATTGTAGGGCTTAGACAGGAAGTATTACAGGTCCACCTCTGCAAACACATCGGTATTGTTGTAGTCCTTAGGCATTGCCAGCCCTTTGAAGCTAAGTATTAAGTGTAACTAAATCTGGCATTACAGGCTTATTCTGTATAAAGTTGAGGGTGAACTGGAGATACTGCTGTAGTAGAAACAGCCTATGCCTGGGAACCAGGATGTAGTGTTATTTTTCCTTACAAATAAGATAAAATGAGGATAATAACACCCGTGTTTTATACCTCAAAAATTATCGGTTGCCACGTATGAAATGATGAATGTGCAGCTAGTTAATGTGAAAAGCACTCTTTGGGAAAGCAGTTCTGTTCATTCCATCAGGAGTAATGTTGGTAGCAGAACAGTGAGGAAGGCATCTAAGAAAGGAAGTAGTATATTTAGCCAGATCTGATAAATTAACCTTGACTGGCAGTGGACTGAAAGACGTCTTGTAAAGCTTACATCCTATAAAGCAGAATACTAGTATAATATGATGATAGTGATATCCCAAAATTATATTTGTAACTACAACAGTGTGTTAGAGATTAGTTGGTAGACTTTAATCATTTTAAAGGCCTCAGTATCTCGAGTCTGGTCTGCTTACTGGTAATTTAATAAATGTGTCTTTTATAGGTGGGATAGTTATCCTTTGCTTTATTTTCACAATTTTGAGAAAAGTCAGCACCATTTTAATTTTTCTTAAATTTTGTGTTAACATTTCTTTTTTTCTTTTTTAAAATATATTTTTATTGATTTCACAGAGAGGAAAGGAGAGAGAGAGAGAGAGAGAAACATCAATGATGAGAGAGTCATTGATCGAGCCCACAACCCGGGCATGTGCCCTGACCGGGAATCGAACCCTGATAGCCTGAATCCTAGGCCGATGCTCAACCGCTGAGCCACACCCAGCCGGGCGTGTGTTAACATTTCTGATAGAGTATCTCATTTCATACTTTGTTTTAATGTATATATAGTTGACATAAAACATTAGTTTCCGGTGTATAACATGATATGGTATTTCTATATATTGTGAAATGATCACCATAATTAAGTCTAGTTAATATCTATCACCACACATAGTTACAAAAACTTTATCCTGTGATAAGAACTTTTAAGATCTACTCTTTTAGCAACTTTCAAATATGTAATACAGTATTATTAATTATAGTTACCATGTTGTACATTACATCCCCAGGACTTACTTATTTTATAACTAGAAATTTGTACCTTTTGACCCCCTTCACTCATTTTTCCCACCACCCCATCCCCACCCCTACCTCCACCTTTGGCAACTACCAATCTGTTCTCTGTATCTGTGAGCTCAGTTTTGACTTTTTGTTTTTGTGTTGCTTTTTAGATTCCACATGTAAGTGAGATCATGCAGTATTTGTCCTTCACTGTCTGAGTTATTTCACTTAGCATTATGCCCTCAGGGTCCATCCATTTTGTTGCAAATGGCAAGATCTTCCTTTTTGTGGCTGAATAATATTTCTGTGTATGCATGTACACATACCTCATTTTCTTTATGCATTCATCCATTGATGGGCACTTAGGTGGTATCCATATTTGGCTGTTATAAATAATGCTGCAATAAATATGGAAGTGCATATATCTTTTCAAAATAGTGATTTTGTTTCCTTTGGATAAACACCCAGAAGTGGAATTGCCAATTGCCTATTCATATGGTAGTTCTACTTTTAATTTTTTAAGGAACCTTTATACTGTTTTCCATGGTGGCTGTGCCAATTTACATTCTCACCAATGGTGCACAAGGGTTCTTTTTCTCTACATCCTCACCATCACTTGTTCTCTCTTGTCTTTTTGATAATAGTCACAGGTGTGAGGTGACATTGTGTCATTTCATCTTTAAAAACCTACGTGACCTTGCTCACAAGGAAGCAATGACAAGAAAGCATGTAGGATTTTTCCAGAAGTGCTTGGTGATCTTTATAAACATAGGATGGCCTAAATTATTTTCCTGTAATGCTAACAGTATTGCCAACCTCATAGGAAAAAGTGAACATAAATATTTAAGATGCATCCCTTTCATTTAAATGAGGAAGTGAAAAGCTTGCCTGGCCATTTCCCTTGCCAACTGTAATTGATTTCAGCATAGATGTGGTTACTGGCACCTATTCCAGAAGCAGTGTTAAGCTGCATAATATTAAAGTTACCATGTAAAATTATAATTCAGACCATTCTAAGTATGATCTTAATACTTAATTTTTGCTTATATTGCTAAGCTGCATGGGGAAATCCCCTTCTTGGTTGTGAGGTTGTGTCAGGAGGAAATCCATTATCTCCTTTATTTTTAAGCTCACTAAGGTGAATGACTGTTTTGAATTTATCTCTGTGACCTTCACTCCTAACTGGCATAAGTAATGATGTGCCACAACTACCATAAGTCTGTTGAGAAATCACGTTATTCCTGTTGCATTGGGTTGTTTTAACAAATAGTATCTTAAAGTGTTATTTCCTCATTCCTTTTTTCACCTCATTCTAATTTACAAAGTCTATGAACAAAAAATGGGAAGCAGCCACAGCTAACTTGTAAGTCAGCAATATCCTGGTTTCCTTCAAAGTGGTTGTGCTTATATTGTTCCTTTCTTGTTTGTTTCCTGTTTTTAGAGCTGCTGATAAAGTGCTTCTAAGAACAGTACTCTCTCAGTTGTTTCAACTGTTTTTATCTACCTAGTGTACTTTTCCTCCGAAAGTTCATGATGAAATGTTTAAGAGTGAATCTATCTTTATCTCTCCTAGGTTCTATTTAACTAAATATCCATGTTTCTGCGCTGTGGTTTATTAACATTACATAATTCAATATGATATTAAAGTAAAAAGTGAATTGGCCAAGAGAGCTGAAGTACTCAGGCTCTCTGCATTTAGAAGGTCTTTTTCAATTGATACCCTTGTTCAAGGGATAAAAGGTAGATAAAAGACATGGTTTGTCTTCTAGAATTTCTATATATTTTCTCTTACAAACAAGGAATAATTTTACCAACAGAAATTGATGTTGTATGTAAGTAGATTGCTCCAAATATTTTCATTATACTTTTTGAGGGATAAAACATAATAGGAAGCCTGTATATAGCTTAATAAGAAAAATAAGACATCACAGATACACAAAGGATCCTACTAGAATACTATAAAAGACTATATGCCACTAAATTCAATAACCTATAAGAAGCGGATAAGTTCCTAGAAATATACAACCTTCCTAGACTGAACCATGAAGAATTGGAAAATCTAAATAGACAGATCAACAGTGAGGAAATTGAAACCACCATCAAAAACCCAAAAAATGAAATTCCAGGACCAGATGGCTTCACTAGTGAATTCTACCAAACATTCAAAGAAGATTTAAAACCTTTCCTTCTCAAACTCTTCCAAAAAACTGAAGAAGAGGCAATACTTCCTAACACATTTTATGGGGCCAACATACCCTGATACCAAAACCTGGCAAGCATAACACAAAAAAAAGAAAACTACAAACTGATATATCTTGTTGCAAAAATCCTAAACAAAGTACTGTTTGTATATACAACAATATATTAAAAAAATAATACATCACGATCATTTGGGGTTCATTTCAGGGGTGCAAGGATGGCTCAACCTACACAAATCGAAATGTAATACACCACATTAACAAAACAAAAGATGAAAATTGTATGATTTTATCAATATATGCAGAAAAGGCATTTGATAAAATACAACATCCATTTATAATTAAAACACACAATAAAATGAGTATAGAAGGAAAGTACCTCAACATAGTAAAGGCCATATATGACAAATCCTCAGCTAATATCATACTCAGTGGTGAAAAACTGAAAGCTTTTCCTCTAAAATTGGGAGTAAGACAAGGATGCCCACTCTCACCACTCTTATTCAACATAGTTCTGGAAGTCCTAGCCAGAGCAATCAGGCAAGAGAAAGAAATAAAAGGCATCCAAATTGGGAATGAAGTAGTAAAACCATCACTTTTTGCAGATGACATGACTCTATATAGAAAACGTTAAAGATTCCACCGAAAAACTATTAGAAACAATATATAAATACAGTAAAGTTGCAGGATACAAAATCAATGTACAAAAATCCACTGTTTTACTATATACTAACAATGAAACTTCAGGGGGAAAAATGGAAAAAAAAAATCCTTTGGCAATTGCAACAAAATAATAAAATACCTAGGAATAAACTTAACAAAGAATGTGAAAGATGTATATACTGAAAACTACAACATGTTATTAAAAGAGATTGAAAAAGACACATTGAAATGGAAAGACCTTCCATGTTTATGGATTGGAAGAATCAACATAGTTAAAATGACCATATTACCCAAAGCAGTATACAGATTTAATGCAATCCCCATCAAAATCCCAATGTCATTTTTAAAGAAATAGAAAAAAAAAAAATCAGACTTCTATGGAACCACAAAATACCTCAAATAACCAAAGCAGTCCTGAGAAAAAAGAACAAAGCTTGAGGTATCACACCGCCAGACTTCAAATTATACTACAAAATGACAGTAATCAAAACAGCATGGTACTGGCAGAAAAAGATTCAGACCAATGGCACAGAATTGAGAGCCCAAAAATAAAACCACAAGTATATGGGCAAATAATTTTTGACAAAGGAACCAAAAACACACAGTGAAAAAAGAAAGCCTCTTCAATAAATGATGCTGGGAAAATTGGAAAGCCACATGCAAAAGAATCGAACTAGATTACAGTTTGTCCCCATGTACAAAAATTAATTCAAAATGGATCAAAGACCTAAATATAAGATCTGAAACAATAAATTACATAAAAGAAAACATAAGTACTAAACTTACGGACCTTGGTTGTAGAGAGCATTTTATGAATTTGACCCCAAAGACAAGGGAAGTAAAAACAAAAATAAATGAATGGGACTATATCAAACTAGAAAGCTTCTGCACAGCAAAAGAAACTAACATAAAACAAAAGGCAACCAATAAAATGGGAGAGGATATTTGCAAACAATGGCTCCAGCAAAGGTTTAATATCCAAAATATATAAAAAACTCATACAGCTCAACACCAAATAAACAGTCCAATTAAAAAATGGGCGGAGGACCTGAACAAGCACTTCTCCCAAGAAGACATACAAATGGCCAACAGATATATGAAAAGATTTTCAATTTCATAGCTATTAAAGAAATGCAAATCAAAACTACAATGAGATCCTACTTCACACCTGTTGGAATGGCTGCTATCAACAAGACAGGTAATAGCAAGTGTTAGGTTGTGGAGAAAAAGGTGCCCTCATCACTGCTGGTGGGAATGTAAACTGGTACAGCCACTGTGGAAAGGAGTATGGCGGGTCCTCAAGAAATTAATAATAGAGTTACCATATGATCCAGCAATTTCTCTTCTGGCCATCAATTCAAAAACATTCACAAAGATATATGAACTCCTGTGTTCATTGCAGCATTATTCACAATGGCCAAGACATGGAGACAACCAAAGTTTCCTTCAATAGCGGATTGGATAAAGAAGACAAGGTACATTTATACTATGGAATGCTACTCAGCCATAAGAAAAGATGAAATGCTACCATTTGCGACAACACGAATGGACCTTGAGAATATTATGCTGAGCAAAATAAGTCAATTAGGAAAAGTTGAGAACCATGTGATTTCATTCGTATGTGGGATAGAAAACTGAAATTCAGATGCATCCTGATATTTTCCCAACACCCAGTAAAAAAGTGAGACAAAATAATAGCTTTCTGATTATTGAATTTAGGGAAATGTGTTAGTTCACTTCAGAGTGAGTATCAAGTAAATTCAATAAAAATTTTAAAAGAAAACATTGAGAAGTATAGTGAATTAAAAATTTGAAAGAGACTATCAATTTTCAACCTTTAGTAATAGAATGTTTTCATCTCAGTTGAGTAGAACTCTAGAGCCGGGGTGAGGAATGTCCAGTCCGAGGGCCATATATGACCCTCGAAATCATTTGCCTGCCAAGGCAATCACAGGCAGGACTCGAAACTCAATAAATCTAGGAGCTTTTTTCATAGCTAATTTTTAAGTTGATAATTTTGTATGGCCCGCGAATGATGTTATAAATATCCAAATGGACCTTAGCCAAAAAATGTTTCCCAACCCTGTTCTAGAGTAATAAGTTGAGTACTTGGGCTTTTGGCCATAATTTTGGGGTGTTTGGTTTGTTTGTTTGTTTTTACTAGTGCTGTATTTTAAGTGGAAGAGGTGGTTAATGTAAAGAGGTATCCCTTTTTTGTTTATTTTCCTCTCTACAAAGAGGAAGAGTTGCTATTAGAAAACAACCTGTGATCATTGAAGATGTATGTTAATTACTTTAAAGTGTAGGCTATGTATTAGAAACAGAAACTGTGAAGTACATACATCAAAATTACTGTATTTTAAGTGTGTTTTTCATTAATTTCTCAAAACTGCCTGGCTCACAATTTTTCCAGAGAATTAAAAATTCCTTACTCCTATATATAAATTAACTTTTCAAAGTGAATATGTTGGTGAGGTAAAGACAGCATTTATCATTTTTCCATATTAACAGTTGGGTCCTCAAAAATGTAAACCTTTAGAACATGTTTGAAGCCTTCCCTTGAGCATAAATTGGAATTCAAACTGGGAAGAGAGACTCCCGGTCTTGGCAGAAATATGAATATACTTCATCGTGTAAACTCTAACACTTAAGAAAATTTCCAGCCCAGCCGGGCGTGCCTCAGCAATTGAGCATCAACCTAGGATCCAGGAGATCGAGGTTCGATTCCCTGTCAGGGCATATGCCCAGGTTATGGACTCGATCCCCAGTCGGGAGCATGCAGAAGACAGCCAATCAGTGACTCTCATTAGTGTCTCTATCTCTCTCTCTCCCTCTCCCTTCCTCTCTGAAATCAATAAAGATATATTTTTTAAAAAAAGAAAGAAAATATCCAGTGTAATTTTGTTGTTGGTCTAGAACATGATGCTTTTTCTGCACAACCTTGTGCATCTTTTGGGTATTGTAATGACAGATAATGCAACCATAAAACATGACCACATCTTTATTTTAGAAGATTAGTTTAAATGACTGTGAATGGCTTGCACCATTTGTTTTACTTAATAAGTATTTTTAAGAGTTATTCACATGTGGTTTTAAAAAATAATGTAGAAAGAGTTAGAAATCTATTGACTTACTCTAATGTAAGTGAATTAAATACTCATTTATATTTCTTGCCCCCTAAAGTTTTCGCAATTTTTGTCACACTGTTAACTAGTTGATCTTCATGACTTCTTAAATAATATAGTTAAACCTCTGTTTCTTATTCCAGCAACCAAAACAATCTCTAAGTTCCTCACTTTGTAAAATGAGTATATTGGAACCCATATTCTTCCTTGGAAAAACTAAAACTAAAATGTATGGCCTAAGTTAAAACAGGTAATTGCATGAACAAAAGTATTCACTAAGTTCAGTATGTGAAGACTTAGCTGAACTATATATGAGAGAAGCTTGGTATAGATATGAAGCAAATCAAAATGCCCCATAATGCATTTACTGCACAGTTGCTTTCAGTTCTTTAGGTGGCTCAGGAATTGTGGTATTGAAACTATAGAAAAGGAAATATAAATGACGGCACACCACTTGGCTCTGCTGAGTCTTGAGAGTATAAATGCTGTTTACTAGTGTTCAATTTCTGGAATCAACTGCTATCCAGAAGACAGAAAATTTATGGGTCTAGAGTAGAGAACATATTTACCCACTTCTATTTCTTGTGCCTCCTTGCTTTTTTTGTTCTCACCCATGGATATTTTTTCCATTGATTTTTTTTAGAAAGAGTGGAAGGGGGGAGGGAGACAGACAGACAGACTGGGACATCAATGTGAGAGAGACGCTTTGATTGGTTGCCTCCTGCACACACCCCAACAGGCTGGAGACTGAACCTGCAACCCAGGCTTGTGCCCTTGACCAGGAAAGGAACCCGTGACCCTTCAGTTCAAGGGACAGTGCTCTAACCACTGAGGCACACCACCCAGCGTACCCTCCCCCCATTTTAAATCACAACCTAAAACGTGCATTTTTGCAACTAAAATAAGTCTGTGTGTGTGTGTGTGTGTGTGTGTGTGTGTGTGTGAGCATATACNGACCAGGAAAGGAACCCGTGACCCTTCAGTTCAAGGGACAGTGCTCTAACCACTGAGGCACACCACCCAGCGTACCCTCCCCCCATTTTAAATCACAACCTAAAACGTGCATTTTTGCAACTAAAATAAGTCTGTGTGTGTGTGTGTGTGTGTGTGTGTGAGCATATACATATGCTCTATTTTCTCTTCCAATTTCTTTTTAAATGGTAGTTGCAACCAAATAATTGATTTCATGACCAGACCATTGAGCTAAGAACTAGAGGTATGAGCTAAAGTATAAGATTATTGTACCATTTCAGCCGATAAAAAGTAAAGTGAAAAATAAGTTGCTATAAATTTTTCTCTTTTCACAGGACATTGGCTCTCTGGATTATCAGGAGTTTGCAGTTGACATTGAGTCCAAGTTGAGGATGGAAGGTGTAGAACTTAAGGAAGAATGGCAAGATGAAGATTTTCCAATGTGAGCAATACTTCTAAATGAAAACAAATTTAGAATAAAATTTCTTCATTGTTATGTCACCTATTAAGTGAATATGGGGTTAATTTTCTTTTATTTTCAGAAAAAACTTATTAAATAAATAAACAAGGATTTCCTAGATATTCTGGCAAGCTACCTTAACAGATTTGCATTTGTAGTTACAGTTGTATTGGCACCAGTAGGGTTGATTAAAAAAGAACAAAGGCAGACCTTATTTTTATTTCCAGTTTTATTGAGAAATAATTCACATACATCACTCTAAGTTTAAGACATACAGCATGATGGTTTGCAGACCTTACATACAAATGATGTTTCCATGCCATCATGGTCAAAAAACTATGCAGTGCGCAGTAAGGTACCTTAGCAGTTGCAAGGGTCAAGTGGGAATACTGAGTCACTGCCATAGTACATGATGATAATAGTAATATGAAAATGCTAATACTCAAAAGAATTGTAGCTGTCCTTACCATATTCCCATTGTGAGGAATGATTTATCTTCATCATACATTATATCATATGTCACGTTAAATTCATGCATTTGAAGTATATTTGTTTTGTTGGTTTATAATTTTTATATTTGTTTTATAGTTGTATTTAAGGGCAGTTACATAAGGAATTTATATCTACTTTTATGTGTTACTTATATCAATATGTAAGTCAGCTTCGACAGTCTGAAATACTTTCTTTAAAAATGGTTTGTAAAATCAGTTTCGTACATAATTGTTTTTATAAGCGATTTTTAATAGAACTTTGAACTTCAAAATAAATATTTTTTTTAATTTCTTGGTTAAAAAGTGTTTCTGTGTCTTCTAGACCTTTACCAGAAGATGATAGTATTGAAGCAGATATATTAGCTGTAACTGGACCAGAGAGCCAGCCTGGTAAGAACTTGACACTTTTAGTTTCAATAAAATGATAGACTTTGTGCTATTTTTGAACACATTTCTTTGTCAAGGAAGAAAATATACTCAGTGTTTGTTTTATCATAGGGAGCCAAAGAATAAGTTGAATGTTAAGGAAAGAGTTTTTGGAATACTTGGGGATTTCTGGAAATTTCTACACTAAAGGGATGAGAGTAGATAATTTTTAGTAGTAAGAAGTGACTCTGAGATCTGCCTCTATTTAAAAAGATATATCCTTTCTGGGATACATCATCTTGCCATGATGCAGAAGCAACAGTGATCAGAATACAAAGTTGTGAATTAGTGCTTTGGGATTGTGTTTAATTAATGTTATTTTTCCTAAGGATGAAGTGGTGGACATTTAAACATTTCTTCTAATACATCTTTCACTTGGTTTACTCATTCCAGGCTCATTAGAAGTTAATGGAAATAAAGTAAGAAAGAAACTGATGGCTCCAGACATTAGCCTGACCCTCGATCCTAGTGATGGCTCTGTGTTGTCAGATGATTTGGATGAAAGTGGGGAGATTGACTTAGATGGCTTAGATACACCATCAGAGAACAGTAATGAATTTGAGTGGGAAGGTAAGTGTTTCATTGTTTTTATCTGACTTTTATTAATGAATGTTTGACTTTATTATACATAAATGTTTTTGTAATGGCATTCTCATAGTGTGATAATTGGAAAAACTTAAAACTTGATCATGAAACCAGTTAAAACTAATGATCAAGGGATTTTGTTATGTTGTTAATTCTATATAAAGTTCATATTTTTTTTCCCTAAGATATGAAATTCTGCTAACACTGGATATTCTCATGGCTTTCAAACTATTTATAGTAGATTGCGCAGGTGGCTTTTTTTTTTTCTTTAATTGCCCAGTGCTGTAAATTTATGTTTTTTCCTGGTTACTCTCAAAATATTGCTTGGTAATTATGGCATATTCTTATGTTCAGTTGATCAGCTTAAAAAACACTTTGAAGAGACATATAATTTAGGAGATGTGGTAAAAGTAGTTAAGGGTTTACAGAGAGGGAGTTCTAAAAGGAGTTTTTTGAGGGTGATTTTTTTAAATAGGTTTGCTGATAGTGCTGCACTTTGTAAATAACCAGCTTGAATTAATGTGTACTCTAGCCCCAACTTTATATTCCTCATCATTTGTTATTTGGAATCCAAAGGAATTTGCATGTGTTTTGCTTTGCAAGCTTTCTTTAATTAGATAATTGTTGGCTACAGTGTCTTTATATTGTTAATAATTTATATATATGTATATATATGTTCCATCTTTAAAATGATTTTTACTTCAAAGCAGTGTTTAGCACTAAGTATATTATCTGCAGTGAAGGGTAAGATCCTTGATGTGCTGTACTTTTTGTTCCTTTCTTCTTCCCTGTTTACTGGTTCAATAAGCAGTCCAGTAAGAAGCAATATTTTATAAAAATACTGAAATAGTTTCTGCCTATGTGTTTTGTCTCTTCTTTCTTTAATGCTGCTCTAGTCATTTCCTGGAAGGATATTTTCCGTTAACTGCTTTATCTTGGAAACATACAACTAACATGCAGTAGGTTTCCCCTCCCCCCATCTTTTGGTAAGGAGACTCTGATACTAAAATTTTGAAAATCATATCACTAATAATCAGCTAAAATGCAATCTTGAACTATAAATTACACCTAATCATTGGTGCTTATGCTTTAGCCAATACCAATTTAAAATATACTTTTGCATGTATACTTCAGAATATTATCAGTAAATTTCTGCTTAAAAAACTGATCAAATGAGAAATAATCATTGACTAGTTAGCCACTTTCTACTGGTATCATAATGTTTGGGGAATAATTTATTGCTCAATAACAACAAGAAATGATTTGGCTTCCAAATAATGAAGTAACCTGTAGTGTTGACACCTGTCAAGGACAGTCTTGTTATAAACAGTATTTGGAAAGGCACTGTGTACTAAGATTTTTGATGGCTATATGAATTATCTTTTCTGAACTTATGGACATACCTTGTACTGTAATTAGGTGCCTTCTGAATTAGGCAATACAAAAAAAGTTAAAGAACCATGATTTCTAGAATCATAAAATGACTTCATATTAAGAACAAGCCTTTCTTTCTGTTATGGAAGAAATATTTAAAATTCCACAGAAAGTATAATGAAAAATTCTCCAAACATTCTAATTAGATAGCAGAGTGGTTAACATGTAATTTTATTTTGTGGTATAAATAACAATTTGGGATTCAAAAACCTTTTATTTTGACAGATGATCTTCCAAAACCCAAAACTACTGAAGTTATTAGGAAAGGTTCAATTTCCGAATACACAGCAGAAGAGGAAAAGGAAGATGGACGACGCTGGCGTATGTTCAGAATCGGAGAACAGGACCACAGGGTTGATATGAAGGCCATTGAACCCTATAAAAAAGTTATCAGTCATGGAGGTAAGAGCTTCCAAAGATTGTTCAGATTTTTTAATGCAATATCAGAAACCTAAATGCTTAAAGAAACTCTCCCTTGAGATATTACACAATTTTGAAATTATAATAAACATTTATCATGTCATTTTAGAAAATAACAGGTTTGAAGTAAAAGAATAAAACTAGCATTTAAAAATCATTAATACATGCACATAGTAAGTTCAAGAGGCCTAAGTGTATGCAGTGAAAACTCTTCCTCCTACTCTTTCCCTTGACATTGCCCCCAAAACTGAGACTTCCTCCCCTTTTTACCCATTTATAACTTACATGCAATGAAATATTCTAATTGGTTTTTTGTAGCATATGCAAATTTATTTTTTCGCCAGCTTTATTGAGATGTAATTGACATATAACATTGTATTATAAGTTTAAGGTGTGCAGCATGTTGATATGACACACTTGTATATTATAAAGTGATTACCACTAGCCTTAGCTAGCACCTGCATCAGATCACATAATTACCACTTGTTTTTTGCAGTAAGAGCATTTAAAATCTTTCTCAGCAACTTTCAAATACATAATACAGAATTATTAACTCTTGTCACCGTGCTGTACATTAGCTCCTCAGAAACTGATCATCTTCTAATTGGAAGGTTGTACTATTTCACACATCTCTCCTTTTCCCCCAGCCCCTAAAAACCACCATTCTATTCTCTGCTTCTGTGAAATCAGCTTTTTTAGATTCCACATATAACTGATATATTTGTCTTTATTCTGTCTGACTTATTTTATTTCACTTACAAATGTTCTAATCTTTAGTGTACAGTTTAATGAGTTTTGACAACTACCCATATAACCATATATACCCACATAGCTTACACCCCCAGACATATAGAACATTTTCATTGTCCCAGAAAGTTTTCTAATACTCCTTCCCAAGGATTACCTCTCCATGATCCTAACCACTGTTCTAATATCTATCCCCATGATTAGTTGTGCCTGTTCTAGAATTTCATGTAACTGGAGTCACATGGTATACACTCTTTGGTCTACTTCTTTTGCTCAGCATAATGTTTCAAGATTCATCCATGTAGTTGCATGCATCCATAGTTTATTTCTTATTACTGCTGAGTGGTTTTCCATTGCATGGGTAAACCACAGTTTGCTTATCCATTCTTTTGTTCCCAGTTTGAGCTATTATGATTAAAACTGCGATGAACATTCTTATACAGTCTTTTGTGGATATAAGTAAAACCTGGCTTTTTAAACTTATGACTTTTTTTTTTAATTGATTTTTTAGAGAGAGAGGAAAGGAGAGGGATAGAGAGATAGAAACATCGATGAGAGAGAAACATTGATCGGCTGCCTCCTGCATGCCCCCTACTGGGGATCGAGCCCAAAACCTGGGCATGTGCCCTGACCAGGAATCAAACCGTGACTTCTTGGGTCCTAGGTCAATGCTTAAACACTAAACATGACGCCTGGGCTAAACTACAACTCTTAATTTACCATACAACCCTGAACAAATCATTTATCTTTACCACAAAGTAGAGAACCAGTTCATTTCACATTTTTATGAAGTACCTACTTGGTATATTTGTGGGATATACAAAAATATAAGGCTTTGTTCCTTCCCTTAAGAAATTTACAAGTCAAATAGGTAAAGCTATGAAGCCAGAACATCCATCAGTCTGACTTTGCTGTATATAGAAGTTTACCTCAGCATTGTGTAAATACTGCCAGAATGTTAGTGCTAGCCAAAATGGAACTCACTCCGTAGAGCATGTCATGTTACCTGAAATCCATCCTCCTAGTGCAGGCAGGGAGCCACAGAGGTTTTTTTCACGTAGAATTATTTCCACTTAGTTTACTCTCTGCCAAATGCACCCCCTGCTTAATTCTATAGTCCTCATTCATCTGAGAGCAAATCACTTGAATATTTTCAGTTACATTATTCTGCCTAATTTAATCTTATTCGGATAAAAAAAACAACACCAGGATAATCTGGATCAGGAAGTCCACCGATGCATTAATTCAGCTAGTTCGTAGGAAGCAGGTCATGAGACCTAGCTCATGGCTGAAATACAATATTTTTCGGAAGTAATACGTTATTTTTCATACAGGAAATATTAGGGCCATTGTATCCTACTGAATTCATCACAATATGTTTTGTTACTACAGGATTAAGAAAGATAGTTGGGGGGATGAAGATGGGAGGCTGGGGAGAGATTAACCAAAGAATTTATATATATATATATATATATATATATAACCCGTGGACACAGACAATAGTGTGGTGAAGGCCTGGGGCAGGGGGTGAATGCGGGGTGGAAGAGGTCAATGGGGGAAAAGGGGGACATCTGTAATACTTTCAACAATAAAGATTTAAAAAAAGATACTTAAGATTCTAATGTATTTGAAATGTTCAAACCTTTTCAGTGCATGCTTTAAACAATAGAAATGAGAGTTAAAGCAAAAATATTTGTGATTGGTTATAGCTTAATATCTAGAGATTACAATAAAAAATATATACGTTTTAGTGCTGTATTTCTTAGAATTATGTCAGATGTGATCTTTTCTTAGGTATTAATACCCTAAAATCTACAAAATGCTAGGCAGTGTTGAACGCAACTCATTTTTTTAGAAGCACCCACTTTAGCCCAGCTGGTGTGGCTCAGTTGGTGAGCATCGTCCGGTGTACCAGGAGGTCACTAGTTCAATTCCTAGTCAGGGCACATGCCCTGGTTGTGGGCTCGATCCCAGTAGGGGGCTTGCAAGAGGCAACCAATTGATGTTTCTGTCTCTCTCTGAAATCAATAAAAACATATATTTTTTTAAAAGACACTTTAAAAAAAGCACTTTAACCTAAGTAAGTTGCATAAGAATGTTTTATTGCTAATGTTGTTGTGTTGTGTCTGCTTGGATTATATCACTGTATTTGTCTACTTGTTACAATAAGTCTGGCTTTCTGATTATGCTGGTTTAAGTGGGTTTCTGGTATTTATGCCCATCCTTTCCTCTTCAAATTTTATTGTCTTTTTGACAAGAGGTAATTTAAAGATCTAAAAAAAAAAAACCAAAAAAACTTTAGATCCAGAAATTTGTGGAAGGTAAACCACTATACTCAAACAACCATACAGATGTCCTCTGCAAAATCTTCAGAGTAAAATCATGCTGGTGATTTTATCTTTGGTTTCTTTTCAGGATATTATGGGGATGGATTAAATGCCATTGTTGTGTTTGCTGTCTGTTTTATGCCTGAAAGTGGTCAACCTAACTATAGATACCTGATGGACAATCTCTTTAAGTATGTATATCTTCACAAAAATGTTTAGACAGAATTCTGAGTTAATTAGATGTCCAATTTAAGGAAGTGAAGTTTAGCTGGGTAAAAATTATAAATATACCAGTTCTAGTTCTTTTTAAGTTCTTATTCTTTGGCATTATGAAACTATTTGCTTTCCAACTTGACAGAAAAAAACCTGTTATTTTAAAACTGGAAGGAATATTTCAGATTATCTGTTCCAACTTCTCTATTTTACATTTGAGGACACATTGAGTATAAAGAAGTGACTTTTTTATTTCAAAATTATATGGCTAAATTACATTTATCCCCGAAAAGCCAAAGGTAACTAAGCTGACTCTCAAATTCTGTTGTATTTCCACAAAGTCATTCTATTTCTCAAATTAGTGCAGTTTTTTAAAACTTTGTTGTAGAAAATTTAAAACATATACAAAGGTAGAAAGCAATATATTGAATCTTTGTGTACCAATCACCCAATTCCACAATTATCAATTTATATTTCACTCCCACAATTTATACTTCCCCTACTGTATAATTTTGAAACAAATCCCAGACATCATGTCATTTCATCTATAAACATTTCAATATGTATTTCTAAAAGATAACTCAACCAATGTTACCTCAATAAATATAATTAATTTTTTAAATAAGTAAATAAATAGGTGATAATAACTTTTTAAAATAACCATTATATCAGCTAATACAGTATTAAAATTTTAATTGTTTTTGCTATCATTGAAGGGGAGGGAAGAGAACTATAATTTGGATAACCTAGTTTGGCTCTGCAAAACTATTATTTAAGGCTTTAAATTCTTTTTGCAGGTATGTTATTGGCACTTTGGAGCTATTAGTAGCAGAAAACTACATGATAGTTTATTTAAATGGTGCAACGACTCGAAGAAAAATGCCCAGTCTGGGATGGCTCAGGAAATGCTATCAGCAAATTGATAGGAGGTACTATAAATACAAGTTGAAAGCTAGTCCAAATAATTTTTATAATGGCCTTATTAGATCATTTTCTGTTGCCAGTTAAAGGCACCATGTATACACTTCCTAAATTACATTTATTAATTTCATAGAAAGTTTCTATTTTAGAATGTTGTGAAGGAAATTAATTTTAATCTGTTTCATAAAGAATAACTTTAATTCCTTAAAACAGACATATAAAAGCTCTTTATTTCTCTTTATTTATACCACATTGAACATTTTCCAGTAATTTACATTTGGGGAAAGGATGGAGAACTTGGTACATTTTCTATTTCATTACATTCTGAGTTTTGCCTAATTTATAGTGTTAGCATATTTTATGTTAAAGTGCTTATTTAGCTGTAATTTTTCTTTGGAATGAGCTCTAGAAGTGTATTCTATTGGAAGTTAGTCATCCATGCTGATGGAAGGAACTTTGATCCTCTGATTGGTTTGATTTGACCATAGCTAATTCAAACTAGTTTAATCAACTCAGACCCATGAATAGGCTTTTCTTCATACTTAACCATGACATTTGCTAGTTCTTGTGATTTAAAAAAAGATCCTTAATGGTCACTTTATTTAAGTGTGAAATGTGTGTGATAAAAGTTATTTGGTCATTTTAAGTTGCCTAGAATAATAATGCCTTTAATTTTTAATAAAAATTTCAGACTTTGTAAGAACATACAAGGTCTAGTTTATGCTGCCTGTTACTTTGGTCATCTCCATTCTCAACTTTGTGCTTGTACAGTGCCCTTCGTGGTGTTGAAGAAATTAGTACCAGTTTCCCCCTATTCCTGAAAATGTAAACAGTTTACTTCTGTATTCAGTATTAGCCTCTACCCTTGGGTGGGAGAATCCTGAGGACAAGTGGATGTATGCTAGGACACATTTAACAACAGGTTATACATAAATTTAGCCAAATGAAGTAGTTTATTTCATAGCACTAGGAGGGACCATCAATATTCTAGAGTGCATTTCTTATGTGTGAAAGAATATCACATCTAAATGAGAACTCTTAGATGAGGGATTTTCAATTAATTTTTCTATAAACTTTCATATACCTATTGGTGTCTTAACTTCTAGCATTAGAATTTATAAAGCTTTTTAAATTTTTCCTTCTTTATTAACTCCAGGCTACGGAAAAACCTAAAATCTCTAATCATCGTACATCCCTCTTGGTTTATCAGAACACTTTTGGCTGTTACAAGACCGTTTATTAGGTAATTTTCTGAATGCCATTAACTTTTTTAAAAAGCAGAACACAAACTCCTTGTATGAATTTCTTGTCAGTTCTGTTGGTCAGAAATATTGAAGTAATTATTTTTATTTTCTTCCATAGCTCAAAATTCAGCCAAAAAATTAGATACGTCTTTAATTTGGCAGAACTAGCGGAACTTGTCCCCATGGAATATGTTGGCATACCAGAATGCATAAAACAGTATGTTTTGTTTTATTTCTTTAATTGTATTGGATCTTTATATTTTGATGTGCAAGAGGTAAATATTTTTTTAATACTCATTTTTTTCTCACTTCCTATATTCTAAATATTTTGTAGCTTCTCTTGTTTTTGTAACAAAGTAACAGAAGAAGGCAGCTCTGGCCATTGTGCCTAAGTGGTTAGAGTGTTGGCCCACAAGCCCTCAGTCTAGACACTTGTGGTTAATGGCTGTTGTATAGGAGCACCTGTGACTTTCTCTGGGCCGCTTTCTCATCTCGTTTCTCTCTCAGGTTTTAATCAGGATGTTCACTGGGTGGATTAAACCAGTGTTTTTAAGACTTGGGTTTGCACAAAATTTCAAATGCATTGAAAACAAAAAATGCTTTATTACCCTTTAATTTCATAAATATTTATTGTGTACCCACTGTGTACCAGCTGTAGAGAATATGTGTTGGATAAGGCTGGCTCCATCCCTGTCCTTCCCAGAGCTTACAATATAGTAGGGAAAGTAGGCATTCAATAAGTAATTATACTCAAAAAAGGAAACATCAGTATGGGTAGCCTCGGGTTTGGTTCCCAGTCAAGGGCATGTACCTGGGTTGCAGGTTCCATCCCCAGCCCTGTTCAGGGCAGATTTGGGAGGCAACCAATTGACGTGTCTCTCTCACATCGATGTTTATCTATCTATCTATGTATCTATCATCTATCTATCTCTCTTTCTCTCTCTCTCTTTATCTCTGTCTCTGTCTCTCTATCTCTCCTCCCTTCCACTCTCTCTAAAAATTAATGGAAAAAATATCCTTGGGTAAGGATTAACAAAAAAGGAAGAAGACGTTTTCCAACACCTTCCCCATAAGTCACCATTTTCTTCAGCCTGTTGGTTGAAAAAAATAGGAAAAATTCTTTCTGGTTGTGATTCATTTATGTTTGTAAAGACTGGTTACATGCTAAGAGGTGATTTCTTGATTTGTCAGTGCTAAAGAACATTCTCCAAACTTGTATGTGCTGCTCTCCTAATTTGAGTAAAAGCTCATTTTGACATTGACTATTATTACTAAAGAAATAAAATATTATTTAGATCAGCATAGCCTTAATACTTTCCAGTGACTGGAATTTATTCTGTTTAACAAATTCACTTTTATCTAACTTTTAAAAGAGCTTGGTAGAGGTTTTTAACATAAATACTTGAGTATCATGGTGCTATAATGTAGAAAAAGTTTCTTTGTTCTGTTAATCTGAGGTTTTAGTCTATTGAATGTGTCAAAGCTAGATTTCTTAAGTCAGTTTTGATTTTTTATATTCCTGTATTAAATATTTTTGGTTTTGCCTACAAACTTAATTTTATTTTCAGTACCTTTTTTTATTTTTTGTTTATCATTATAACATGTATTTACTGAAATAACTCTTCCCTACCAAGGTATGAAGAAGAAAAGTTAAAAAAGAAACAAAAAAGGTATATGCACACCTTGACTGGGTTGCATCTAGACTAGTCCATTTGCATTGCACAGACTAACTCTTCCGTATTGGTTGGTTAGCTTGTAGACAAAGATAATAGCATTTGTAAATATAAATATACCCCAGAATCCAATGCAGAGTGAATCCAAAGTTCCTGATGCTGACTGTGGCTTGGATTCACTCTGTTTTAACACCATATATAATACTATTTGGGAATTAAAGGCCACAGCCCGTCCTCCCTCCTTTTTGGTATAAGTACTGATGGTGAAACCAGAGAAATTACTAAGAATGCAATTTGAAAAATCAGTGATTTTTAATAGTTTATCATTTTTACCATATTTTTTTTAATCTGTAACTTGTGCTTTTGAAATATTCGTGCACTTTTTAAAGAAATTATTTTATTTCTCTGGGGTTAATGATTATATTTAAAATGCACATATTCTTTGGCTAACCAACATTGATTTCCTTGTATGCTTAAATGGCCTGCTAACCAGTCAAATTTCTACATGTGATAAAATACCTAAAAGTTCAATGTACCATTTAGTAGTTAAACACTCTGCTTTCCATCTTAAATTTAATTTTGAATACTTCTGCTTTGAGCATAACAAACTATTATCTATTAATACCTTGGCATAGAAGATGAAAGGCAAGGGTATAAAACAGTTACATTTTATATAGTAATTTTAAAAAGTGTAGGATTTGGATCTAACTTGTTAATGGACTTTTAAAATATGGACAATTAAATTAGCAATACAGTTTAATACAGTGTTTCTTAAGAGTTAAGGTGAGAGATTTATATGTAGTTATTTTGACTATTCTAAGGAAACAATTTTAAGTAACTGGAACTGAAACATTTTTAACTTTGGACATATTTTGTCTCTGTTAATGAGCAAGAATTCAGTTGACCATGTGATAGAATAATAGCTTCACATTTCTATATGACACTTTACAGTTTATCAAATAATTTAACAGAGATATGGGCAGTGATTTTTAGATCTTGCTAATTTCTCATTCCTTTCTAGGCATTGGTGTGCATTTGCCAGACAAGTGGCTGAAATTAAAAATACAATCTGTAGTTGTAGAATATTTTGAAGCCAGCTGCTTCATGGATTTCAAAGTGAATTGCCTTTACTGATGAAATCTGTATTGTGCCTTTTTACAAAGTTCTTAGTATTTCATTATCTATTAAGTGATTTAGGCATCAGAAAAAAAAGCAGAACTGTACTCTCTTTAAATGTATTGTTTGAAACCTACCACTACTATTTTATCTTGTGTTTTTTTTCTCTTTTTTTACTTTTGTTTAACCTTAATAGAATCATTATGTATACCTCTCAGGCACTTCTTAGTTTTTGTACAAGGTTTAGCCTTAAAATATTAATAAATTCATGTTAGCTTGAAAATGATAACATTCAAATTTTAAAAATAGAGGGGCATATTTTTGAAACCAAAAGTTAACAGGCTACATGTGGGAGAGCTTACTTAAAGTGAAATCTCTGTGATGAATGAGTACTGATGAGAAGCACAATACAAAACTGAGTCTTGAAATACAGTCATGCGTCACTTAACAATGGGGATTTGTTCTAAGAAATGTGTCATTAGGCTATTTTGTCATTGTGTGAACATCCTAAGAGTGTACTTTCACAAACCTAGATGGTCAGCCTACGACACACTTAGGCTATATGGTATAGCCTATTGCTCCTAGGCTATAAACCTGTATCGCATGTAGCTGTACTGACACTGTACCTACTAAAGGCAATTGTAACACAATGGTAAATGTTTATCTAAACAGAAAAGGTACAGTAAAAATATGGTGTAAAAGATAAATCATCATATTTGGACATTTGTATAGGACAGTTAACCATGAACAGAGCTTGCAGGACTGGCGAGTCAGTGAGTGAGTCATGAGTAAATTCGAAGGACTTGTACATTACTGTCTTGTATTGTGTGTGCTATGACGTTACAGTGTCATTAGGTGGTAGGAATTTTTAGTTCCATTATAATCTATGGGACCTTAGTCGTATATGCCGTCCATCATTGACTAAAATTGTTACCTGGCGCATGACTGTAGCGGCATTTTAATATATCACTTAACAAAATCATTTTTGAAAGGTTTTTTCCATTCTCTTATCTCCCTGCCCCCAGCTATGCTACAATTCAACATTTCAGTATGTAATGTTGTTCAGTATGTAATGTTCAATAAAGTTCAGTAATCTGAACTTTTAATAAAGTTTATGTGCATTTGTATATAAGTACTTTATAATTTTTAAAGAAACAAGTTAAATTTCTTGTCAGTGTTCTCTTGACTTTAAAAATTATCTTTCCTTGTTGGGAAAATGTTTTGTAACCTTTTTACTGTGTCTGCTTCTTGGCAAAGCTTTGTTTTTAACAATAATATTCTATGCTAAATGTAGTCATTATTTTTAAGAAGGAAATTATTCACTTGCTAGTGTTTTATTATCTATATTGTTTTTCATTAAACAGAGTTGATCAAGAGCTTAATGGAAAACAAGATGAACCAAAAAGTGAACAGTAAGTTTGGCATCTAGTCCAAACAAGACTGAAGAATGTGCTGATGAAGCAGTGCTCTTTTTTGCATTTATAATGCATTTATTGGCCCTGATTTTTATGTAACCTGTTACAAAGTTGACTTGACTTTTTCTCAATGGACTTTTGTATACGGGACTGTTCACTGCTGTATTGTTTTGCAAATCTCTTGAATTTAGCTCTTTACTAGCTAATGATATTGTAATCATTTTATATTGCTAAAAGCAGAGAACCTCACTTTATATAAAGTGGTTTTTGCATTTGTTTATTGAATGATGCGTCTTCTTCAGTAAAATATTTATATGCCTAATTGGTAAAGGAAAGAAATAATATATATTTTTATGTTTTGAGCAATATTTTTTAATGTATACCTGTCTTATGGAAGAATATGCAGATAAATAAGACCATGATATTTGAAGTGCATGTTAGAATTTTTGTGTTTTGTAAATGGTTAACTACATTTCCTGGGTAACTTAAAAAACGAAGTGGCTCATAAGGTGAGAGACGGTTAAACTGGTTGTCATGAATACCCAAAGGTCATATGTATAATCTAAGTAGATTAGTGCCGACCTAAGCTTTTTTAATTACATAATATATATTGTTCCTTAATTCAGAAGCACAAATACAAGTGTACTGCACACTTTTTCCTTTTTACACTTAAAGACAACTTTAAAAGCCAGTTATAGAACTAGAGGATTTAAGAGGCTGAGAATTGAGGTTTGTACATATATGTATATACGGGACATTTTATCTCCTGGCCAAAAGTTAGACCTTTATAAAAATCTTAGATTTGTTCACTAATGTGAAATAAGCTGTGTCCATGGTATCATGCTCCTGAATTTGTGTGAGTGCAGTGTACTGTTCGGAGAACGTGATGAGTTCTTTACTGTCACTACTTTTCTGTAGAACACAGGAGCTGCTTTTTTAACTGCTCTCAATGTGGGCACTTTACGAAAATACTTCCTTATCAGTTATTGGAACTTGGTAGGTGTTTGACCTAGTCAGATATGGTGTGTTTTCACATTTCCTATTGAATCATGTTGACAGTACTGTAGATTAAGTTATTTTCTAAATCTTAGAGCATCATTGTATTATACTGTTTTGGATGATACATTTGATATAGCATATAAACTCCTTGTTTAATTTGGCAAGTACCTGGACTCTTGCTTCCAAACAGAACTAAATTTACCCACAGAATCACCCTAAAAGAACTGATTGGTCTAATATTGTGTCATATACTTGTGTGACTCATATACATTTAGTAAACTTAGCACCCTCCTAATTTGAGGCTCATACCACACTTCTGCTCTTCTTATAAGGTAATTTACAAAAGAGTGTCCTGGAGTAGCGTAATTGAAGTGGATGAGAGCTAAGCTTCTAAGATTTATTCTATCCTAGACTGAAGACATGTGGTTTTTACCATTTCTACTTTTAGTATCAAGTTCCTATTACAAAAAAGAATTATTCTTTACTTTCTATCCTCTTCAGTCATAAACTTGGCATCTAACTTAAGTCCAATTATGGGAGATGCTGGAGGATTCCCAGGATGAGATGCTCCTCAGCTGCCTCCTGGCTTGACTTGGATCCAGCAGCTGTAGGCAGATTGTGAACTAATGTCATTATAATGAATAAAATCAAAACCATTATTGCTTGCTAAAATGTTAGAAACACTTTGTACTGAAAACACAAACTAACAATAATTTAGGCATTCCTTCTGACTTCACCATATAACAATTATGAATAAAGGATAATATTGAATTTAATTGTGATTAGAGTCTATAATTGTAGAGTGCTTTAAGTAGCCTTTTATCTATAAGTCTTCATCTGGCTCAGAATGGGCTGAGCTTTATTAAATGGGTGGTTTTCCTCCACATCAAGTACCCAGTTCAATTTCAACATTTTATTATGTTTATTGACTTTTCCTTTTGCAAGCATTGTTCCAAACTACAGAAACAACTTGTTACAAAAATGGTGCATTTTTAAAAATATTTTTTAAAAGTAGGATTAGCCTGTATTCTATTAGAACATTAAAATTCAGAGGGAACAGTGATAACACTGGAATATAACAAAAGGGATGTGCTGTGAATCACTAGATTCAAAGGATACCTGCTCTAACCTACACTTGAATGGAATCTGGTATAGGGACATGCCCCATAATAAATGTTTCATAATTATAAGACTTATGTAGGTTAGAAGGAAAGTGTTTATTAAATTTGTTATTTGTAATTTGTAGCTATGTTGACATTTCCCCCATATCATTTCAATTTCAGTTTTCCACTGCTGATTGAGGTCAAATACATATATTTGTATTATTTTACCTTTATGTTGGGGTCATGGATCTAACTTAACTGGTTTAACTTGATGCATCTTTCACTTTTTTTGTTATACTTGGGCTCTGAGTACCTCTTTTTAGTCAACAGTTTCTCATGTAAAGTAATTTGTGTTCTACTTGGTTATATTCCTAAGTACCACCAAGGAAAGATGTTATATTGACCCCATAGTTTAAGCTTAATAGTCTTTAACTCAGGGGGGATGGGTAATAAAGAAATATGATTCTAAGTAGGGCCCCGCTGGTAGTTGGAAAACAAGATAACAGAAAAAGGAAGTAGGAGGAAGAAAACTATAAAGGGGTAAAGAGTTAGCTGTTACTAAGATGCCACTGACTGTATCCGTTACAGGAAGTACTGTGTATGGCAGCTGTTGGTACCATTTCTTGTATCTAGCAGGAAAACCTGCAGGCAACTCACAGAGTATGTGAAGGAGGAAAAGGTTGATAATACCTGTAATGAGAATTCATATTTTCTTCTGCTTTATCCCTTCATATAGAAGTAAGTTTGAACAGAGGGTCAGCATTATAGTGCACAAATTAAAGTTTAGGAGTTGGGTTATTTTTCATATTACATGGTTGGTAAATATAAATGAAGTTTTCCAAAATAGACATCACTATTTAGTAACTGCACTGAATACTGAAATTTGCTGATTGACAGATATATTTTGGTAGCTAGAATTTCTTCAACTGCAATTCCAAAATTTTTAAAAGTAAGGGATCTGATTTTTTTAGAGAGACTTTGTAAATAACTGTATAGTGTTACTATTTGGCTGTTTTTATGTGAGTGCTCAGGGAATTTGAAAGTTTCATTTAATGCAGGAAGTGGCTTTTTAGATTTCTTCAGTTGATAGATAAATTAGCATTAGGATATATCTGATAGAACAGGCCAGTTTCCTGATCAGGTTGGTAAGGTTGTATAAAACGTTACAAGTAGCTTCATCTTTCCTTTTCCTATGTTACATGTGGAAAATTGCTAACATTGCTCAATCAAAAGGGAGCAGGGGAAAGGCTGAAAATAGAGATTGCTACCATTCTGTTTTGTTTTCATGCCTATATTTTTCCCATCATATTCAGATTTTTGAGAAATGGATTACAAATCTCAGAAGGATGGGGTAGGTAGAGGAATAACTGTACTTACAAGTTAGACCAACTATTCTTTTAGAGTTTATCATGTCATAGGGAACGGGAATTGTGTAATTTAAGATGCTGGGAGAGTCAAGAATTTAAAACTTGCATAGGAAAATCAGTAGGTTAGGGAAGTAGATTATCTACTCAATGTTCTAAGTACAGAATTACCTTGGGAGCCTGTAACTCCCCTGTTCCTGTCCCAGGATTCTGAATGAATTAAAGTCAGACCAATGGCAAGTCCCTGTAATGTAACTTTCCTTTGAAGTTCTAAATGGTAATTGAAAATAAGGTAATGTGTTGAAGAGTAAGGAGTGACACTAAAATTTGAACAGAACTGTTACTTTGTTGTAACTCTATATATCTTAATTTCTTATGTTTTGAGAACTACTTAAAAAATACTACCAAAAGTTCACATAAAGCACTTAATAGATCAAACACCAGATGAAAATCAAAGTTTAATGCTTTCAAATTAAAGAATTAAGCTGTTTGCTTCAGATAGCTGTTTTATTCTCTTATAAGGCATTCTACAAGAAGTTAAGATGTTTGCATTTTAAATTTTTGTTTCTATGTTTAGGGTGGCTAAGGAGGAACTTGGAAAACATAAATTAGCTACTCCACTACACTTTTTGTATATGGACTTTCTAAAGTTATGCTCCTTAAACAGTTTATTTACATACACCTAGCTAGTAAATATTGGTGGTATTTAGGGGCACTGACTTGCACAGGCCTTGGGGCATCATTCAAATAGAACACAATTCAGAGTGTTCGATACTAACACACTTTGATAAATATTTCAAAAATTCAAATATTTTTCTAACCATTGGTTCACATTGCAATTTAAACAAAATTAATGTACTGTGATCATTTTACTACTATTCAGATGATGTTGCATAGCTTAGTGCTTTCATTTTAGAGTGTTTGAGAAATTCAGTTCTGATGACTGTGTGTGCAAGATGTTTATGTGGTCCCTGTCAGAAATATTAGGGTTGGTCTTGATTTACTAAGGAGATGTAATATTTTATTTTCCTTTGAATTGTTAGGAATACAGTGACTTGTGTCCTGATCTGTTGCACGTCGTATTTTTGCAACATTAATGAATTTAAATAAATTAATTGGAAAGTTTGTTTTTGTGTCATTTTCTCATATTTCTTCCGTCTTCCATTGTGCTCCTAATTTTTACACCAAGTTATCGTGTCTTTCAAATCGTTGTAGACCATTACTCTTGAATCTCCTTGTATAATCTGGTGCTGTTTCCTATTGTCAAGGGGGTGAAGAATCCACCCTAGTTTTAATTTTAACATTATCTTGTTTGTGTTTGTTATTTAAATACCCAGATTTTATTAAGTTTCTTTAAGATCTTTTATAAGTATTGATAAGATCTCATTATATTGAATTCCAAGTGGTTATAATTCTGAAATGAATTTTTTAAATTTTATTTTTCAATTACAGTTTGCATTCAATTCTTTTGTATTAGTTTCAGGTGTGCAGCATAATGGTTAGACAATCCTCTGTTTTACAGGGTGTTCCCCCATTAAATGTTATCTTAAATATAATCAAATTTTGTGTTTCATAGTTTAGAATTCTTTTAGTTAGTGGGCAATCCAGCAATGGAATCAGTTCAATAGGTGGCTGGAAACATGGCACAAATATAGCTTGGGTTCCATCTAGTAGCGCTTGTTTTTGCATTTACTCCTTAATCACTATCCAGCCACTTAATGGCAAACAACTGTGCATGTTACTGCTGCTTTTAATCCATAGGATAGCATTTGGGGTTATATAAACTAAAAATATAAAAGTATTTGTCTTGCATTAGGAACAAATATTAAATACAAATTCTCCCAAATTAAAATTCTTCATGAATCATAAACTGAAAGCTTGCTGGGCTAAATGAACTGCAGCCCTATTTTGAGTGGTAAATAAATACCTGCTATAATCTTCCGAATTTCATTGCACGGTCTTAAACAGTATTAACTCTGAGCACACCTCAGGCATAAAATGTGACTACCTTGCATTTCCTAATTGTGCATCTTTTTCCTAATTGTGCATTTTACAGTGGAGATTATTCTTTAAAATTATAATTCCCTTATGAACAATTTAGTTAACCTGTGAACTCGAAAAGGTTACCCGCCCACGGCTCTAGCTAGGGCTTGAAAGCTGCGGTCCCACGCCCCTGCTCTCTCCACAACCGGCCCGCCCCTTGCGGAGCTGGAGTTGCGCGCGGGAGCGGGTGGTGGGCGGGGTCTCCCTGGGCGCCGCCGTGACGCCACTTCCAGATTCCGCGAGCACTTCCGGGTCGCTGGCCGAGTTCTGCGGTTTCTGTGGCTGCCAAAGAGGTGGTCGGGCCCGAGGTGGTAGGTACCTCCTGCTGGGCTCCTGGCGCGGCTGCTTCCGTCGGCTCCGCGGCGGGAAGCGCGTTCCCCGCAGGTACTGGGTGAGCCGTGCCCGCGCTCCCAGTGCCGGGGCTGCGGTCGGTTGGGTCTTCTCCTAGGGCTGCATGGAGGGCGAGGCCCTTCCCCCCCGGGGCGACCCGCTACCGACCCCCATGCCTGGATGGCCCCGCGGCCGGTACCCCGGAAGGCAAGGGGACGCAAGGAAGGCGGCGGGAGACGGTTGCGTGTCGTGCGGGAGGCTTGTTCTCCCCCGGGCGCCCGCTGGAAGGTCCTGGGGGGAGGGCCTGCGCCTCAGCCCAGCGCTGCGTTTTAGCCAGGTGAAGGTTTTTAAGCGTCCGGGGTTTGGGGGTGGGGGTGCCGAATATATCGGGGGCGCGCATTCCTTGAGTGTCTCATTCGTGTGCTGCTTCGCTTGTTTGAAGTCAGCCTTCCGACTTCATGCGAACTTCTGCAAAGGAATGAATTCAGCTGGATGGTTTGATCAAGGACTAGGACTTTGAGTTGCTTCCCAATGAGGGCCTTCTAATTTACTATTCTAAACTGCAAAATGAAAGAGCACTAATTTGTATGGCTGATAACACAACTAAAATATTTGAACATTGCACAAGGAATTTTTAAGAATCTAAGATCATTAAAATGCTCACTTCGGCAGCACATATACTAAGGTCACTAAAGCAAGTAATTTTAATAAACTTTTAAATAGTGGGGGTTTTTTACACTAACTTAGGTATAATAGATACAAAGTTGTGTAAGTTTCAACATCATGATTTGGTACTGGTATATGTTGTGAAATGATCACCACCAGTTAATTTTTTTTTTCTTTTTTTATGATGGCTTTTAAGATCTACTCTGTTAGGAGCTTTCAGATATGCAATACAGTATTATTAACTATCACCATGCTATACGTTAGTGATTTTCAACCAGTGTGCCACAAGAATTTTTAAAACATTCAATGCCCAACTAGTCAGGGACACTGATCTCTTTTCCCTTAGATTGTCAAATAAAAAAATGACAACAGCCAATACAACATAGCCATCTGGTGTGGATGAATCAGAATTAGATTCTTTTTTTTTTGTCAGATTGGCAAAAAGTATAACATGATTTTTGGTGTACTGCAGAATTTTAGTAATTATGTGTGCCGTGAGATGAAAAAGGTTGAAAATCACTGCTATGTGTTATATTCCCAGGACTTATTTTATAAATGGAAGTTTGTACCTTTCAACAATCCCCCCACTCCAGCCATCAATCTGTTCTCTGTATCTGAGCTGTTTGTTTTGGTTTTTAAATTCCATATATAAGAGATCATACAGTGTTTGTCTCTCTGACTTATTTCACTTAGCATAATGCCCTCAAGGTCCATCCAGTTTGTTGCAAATGGCAAGATTTCATTCTTTTTTTGGCTGAGTAATATTCCATTTCATAGATGTATGTATCTTCTTTACCCATTTGTCTTTCAGAGGACACTTAGGTTGTTTCCATATCTTGACTATTGCAAATAATGCTGCGGTAAACATAGGGGTGTATAAATCTTTTTGAATTGGTGTTTTGGATTTTTTGCTGGGTCATATGGCAGTTCTGTTTAACTTTTTGAGGAACTTCCATACTGTTTTTCATAGTGGCCACACCAGTTTACTAATCTTACCAACAGTAAACGAGGATTCCCTTTTTTCCACATTCTCACCAACACTTGTTCTGTGTTGATTTATTGGTGATAGCCATTCTGACAGGTGTGAAGTGATACCTTATTGTGGGTTTAATATACATTTCCCTGACCATCAGTCATGCTGGGCATCTTTTCATGTTTGTTGTCCATCTGTATGTCCTCTTTGGAGAAATGTCTCTTCAGGTCCTCTGTCCATTTTTTAATTGGGTTGTTTGGGTTGGGGTGTTAAGTTGCATGAGTTCCTTATATTTTTTAGATATTAACCCCTTATAGGATGTATGATTGGCAAATATTTTCTCCTTTTCAGTAGATTGTCTTTTCGTTTTGTTGCTGGTTTCCTTTTCTGTGCAAAAACTCTTTAGGTTGACATAGCCCCCTTTGTTCATTTTTTTCTTTTTCCCTGGCCCAGGGAGACATATCCAAAAAGATAGTGCTGAGCCCAACATCAAAGAGGTGACTGCCTGTGTTTTCTTCTAGTTTTATGTTTTTGGATCTTACATTTAAGTCTTTAATTCATTTTGAGTTTATTGTATATCAAGGGTGGGGAACGTCCTGCCAAGGCCTTACCAAAGAGAAGCAATTCCAGCCATCACATTAGGGCCGAGTTAATTAAATGTTTGACTAATGTAGCAGGCTAATTTTTTTAATATGTTTTTATTGATTTTCAGAGAGGAAGGGAGAGAGAGAAACATCAATGATGAGAGAGTCATTGATCGGCTGCCTCCTGCACGCCCCCAACTGGGGATCAAGCCCCCAACCCAGGCATGTGCCCTGACCAGGAATTGAACCTCTATCTTCTGGATCCTAGGTCGATGCTCAACTGCTGAGTCACATCCGGCTGGGCTAGCAGGCTAATTTTTAAGTTGATTATTTTGTATGGCCCTCCAGTGAAGTTATAAATATCCAAATGGCCCTTGGCAGACAAAAGGCTCCCCACCTTTGTTGTATATGGTGTAAGAAAGTGATCCAGTTTCCTCCTTTTGCATGTATCTGTCCATTTTTTCCAGCACCACTTATTGAAGAGACTGTCTTTGCACTATTGTATGTTCTTGCCTCTGTCATAGATTAATTGACCATATAGGTGTGGGTTTATTCCTCAGTTCTCTGTTCCGTTTCATTGATTTGTGGCAGCGATTTTCAACCTTTTTCATCTCATGGCACACACACAAACTAGTTACTAAAAATCTAATATAAAGCATATTTTTTGCTGATCTGACCAAAAAAATAGATGTAATTTTGATTCATTCACACTGAATGGCTATTGTTGTGTTGGCTGCTGTCATTTTTTACTTGACAATCTAAGAGAAAAGAGGTCGGTGCCCCTGACTAAATAGTCAGGTATTGCATGTTTTAAAAATTCTTGCGGCACACAAGTTGAAAATCACTGTTCTAGATGCCCGGTTAACTTCAGTAAACAAAACAGACAAAAAAGTCCCTGCCCTGAAGGAACTTACATTCTATTGGAGGGTACAGAAAATAAACATAAGTAAATTATTATATAATATGTTAGAAGTGATGGTGCCATCAAAAAACATAGCAGGAATAGGGGGATTGGGAAGTTCCAGGGTGGAGGTGGGAGTTGGTTTTTAAGAGAACCAAGTAGAGCCCTGGCCAGTATGTCTCAGTGGTTAGAGCGTCAGCCCTCACCCCAAAGGGTCTTAGGTTTGATTCCCAGTCAACGGCATGCACCTCGGTTGCAGGTTCCTTTCCTGGTGCAGTCAGGAGCATGTGTGGGAGGCAACCATGTGTCTCCCATCCTTGTTTCTCTCTCCCTGTCTCCTCTCCCCCTCGCTCCCTTCCACTCTCTCTTAAAATCAATGGAAAAAATACCCTCAGGTGAGAATTAACCAAAAAAAGAGAGAGAACCAAGTGGATACCTGGGGGAACAGTGTTCCAGGTAGGAAGAACAGCCTTTCAAAGGCTGGAACATGTCTGTCATGGTTTAGGAAAAAGGAAGCCAGTGTGAGAAGGGTGAGAACAAGGGAGAGATGGTAGGTAAACTCAGAGAGATAATAGGTAGCCAGATTACTGTAAGGACTAGTGAAATGTAAGCCACTGGAGGTTTTGAGCAGAGAAGAGATACGTTCTAACCTATGTTTTAGAAAATCACCTGGCTGCTGAGTTGGAAGAGTGTAAGGGACAAGCATGAAAGCAGGGAAACCAGTTAGGAAGCTACTTCAGTAATCCAGATGGCAGGTGATAGTGGCACAGACCAGGGTGATAACAATAGAAGTGGTGAGAAATGGTTGGGTGCTTAATGCAGTTTGAAAGTAGAGTTTACAGGGTTTGCTAGCATTGAATGTAGAGGTGAGCTGGGGGGAGGGAAGGGTAACTTCAAAGATTTTTGCCAAATTCCACAGAAGTTTGGAGTTATATCACCTGAGATGGGAAAAAAAAAGTAGAGAGGTTGAGTAGGCAGTTGGGTCCTGCAGTGAGTTCAGGGGAGAGGTGTGTGCTAGTGTATGAATTTGGGAATTGTCAGCAATAGTATTTAAAGCCATGAGACTGAATGTTATCTCTAAGGAATGAGCATGGACGGAAAGCAGCAGAGAACCAAGCATGGTGTCTGTGACATTGAGAGTTCAGGGGGAAGGGGATCAGCCCCCAAACGACATTGAGAAGAATGAACCAGTGAGTTTAAGAGAACAAACCACCTGAAAAGCATGGTGTCCCAGAATTGAAGCCAAGATCCTCTATCAAGGAAGAGGGAGTGATCGCTGTGTGAAATGCTCAAGCCTGGTGAAGGCGGAGATGAGGATTAGCTTTAGCAGTGCCGCTGATGTCCGTCACTATGTTCCATGGGAGTGCTGGAGGCAAAAACCTATGAGGAGTGAGTTTAAGAGCAAATGGGAGAAAAGGAGACACAGCGAATGTAGACAACAGACAACTCCTACAAGGTTTGCTGCAAAGAGGAACAGAGAAATAAGAGTATATATAGCTGGTGAGGGACGTGGGCTGAAACCTTTTAAGATGGAAGAAATCACCCCGTTTGCTGATAGGAATGGTCCATGGAGATGGGAAATTTGGTGGTGAGGGAGAGAAGGAATAATTGTATTGTTGGAACATATCCGTGAGCGTGCTGACGGGATAGGCCCTAATGCACTGGAGCAGGACCGTATTTAGATGACAGTATGGACTGTTCGACTATTAGTGAAAGGCAGGTGGGCAAAGTACATGGGTATAGATATTGGTAGGTGGTTACATGCAGTTTTGAGAGCCTGAAAGCTTTCATTGCTTCAGTTTCCTCAGTAAAGTAGAAATCTTTGAATTGCACTTAAATACATTTATAATATTTGATATTCGCATTTTGACATATGACCAGGTTATATATTCAGACTAACAAATACAGGAGTTGGCAAAAGTAGGTTTACATGCTACAGATAAATGATTCAATAATTAATAATACAAGATTAAAAGGTTTCTCGCATACTCGCAACTGTAAACCTACTTTTGCCCACCCGATATATTGAATACATTCTGCATACTACGCATTGTTGTAGATGGTTAATATATAACTTCATGGAAAGCCTATTTTAGTGGATGGGAACAGAGTAAGCATATGTAATGTCAGCCTCAATGATATAAATAATAAAGCCAGTGTGAGGGGGCAGGGAGGTAGTTCCTTGGTTGGTCACAGAAGTCCTTTCTGATGAAGTGACATGTGATCAGCCGTCTGAATGAAATGAACCATGCAGGTACCTGAGAAGATGGTTCAAAGCAAAAGGAAGAGCCAGTGCAAAGGCCCTAAAGCAAGAACATCTTGCTGTATTGAAGAGCAGCAAAGGACCAGCCTGGGGCCCAGTGGGCGAGGAGGGTGAAGAAGGAACGTCGAGGGGGCGGGAGCTCATGGAGGCCTTGCAGTCCATTAGAAGGACTTTTTCACTTTAAGAAAAGGTGCTGGCATTGTGGTTTTTTTAATAAATGAATGATGTGGTTTGACTTATGTTTTAAAAGGCTCAGTACTGCTCTGGAGGCGAGAGGTAGGGTATGCAAGGGTAGAAACAGGGAGACCCCTTACTGGTCTGTGACAGATGATGGTGACTTAGTGCCAGCAGTGGAGATGGTAAAAGTTGTCAGGATCTGGCTACATCTAGAAGGAAGAGCTGAAAGGATTGGCTGACACGTTGGATGCAGAGTAAGAGAGAAGTTAGTGTTGATTATAAGGCTTTGGAGCTGTCTACTGGAAGACTAGATTTACTGTTTACTGAGGTGGGCAAACTGAGCGCAGAAAGGTTTGAAGGGGTAGTATCAGGAATTTAGTTTTGACACATTTATTTTGAGCCACCTACTTGATAATTCCATCCAGTGTCAAGTAGACATTTTTATTATATGTGGCAACAAGGGGGAAAGTCAGGACTGGAAATATAAATTAGAGACTCATCAGCAGACAGACAGTACTTAAAGCTGTAAGCCTGGATGAGGTAAATAAGGGAGTAAAGTATATAAAGAAGACATAAGAAGCCTTAAGGTAGTTACAAGTTGGGCTGCTGAGGAGAACCAGCAAAAGAAAACTAGAAATACACAGTAGTGGTATCCAGTGAAATGGGAGAAGTGACTGTGGGGTCCCCAAAAAAACAAAGAAAAGGCCTCAAGAAGGCAAAAATGACCTAGTGTATGAAATGCTCACAAGGCGTGTAATATGAAGATTGATAAGTGACCATTTTTGCTGAGTTTTGCCTGATGATTCGTCCTTGATGATATCTCCTCCTGTCCATTTCTAAACTGAAAGTGCCGTGAGATCAGGGATCTTACACCTGACATGCAGTAGATGCTCAGTAAATACTTGTTGAATCTGTACTTCTGCCACCTTCTTGGAGTCCTCATTCCTCATCTCTTTCTAACCTTGCACTCAAGTACATTTTTCAGATGGCTTCCAATTTGACCTTTCCTGGCTAGAATGCTTCAGTACCTCCCCATTATCTTCGCTATGAAACCCTGCACCTCTCCTGATGGAACAAATCCATCCATGCCATCATTTTCCAACTCATCTTTTACCATTTTCCTATTTATATCTATACCCTAAGAATATAGAACAATTTATAGTTCTCTTTACAAATTATTATTTCATGCTTCTATGGCTTTAATCATTCTATTATTATAGCCTAGGATGACTTTCCTCTTTTGCTTGGCTAAAGACTAGCTTGAAGAACCAGGAATCTTGCGTGAACCAACTCATTCAGTCCAGAGTCAGACTCCATAGTACACTGTATATCTCTATCACAGTTCTTTTTCTCTTTTGAATTTAACTTTTTTATGTGTCTGCTACCCTCCCTACAGTATAATTTTTAAGGTCAGGAGGGTATATTTATCTTCCTCTCCCTAGTATCCATCACAGTGCTATATCTTCTTAGTAAGTGCTCTATAAATATGAAATTTTAAGAGAACAGGAAAATGAAAGGGAAGGCATGCAAATGTGAGCTGGATTGTCTGAGTCAGTGACTTGGCAGTAAGGAGAAAGGAATGGTATATGGTAAATTCTAGGCTAGGTCAAAAGGCAAACTTTTGAAAGAAATGGTAAAGATGTACATTTTAGTCATTGTAATAGCTATACTTTGTATAAAGGAGTATAAATGCCCATGTCAGAGTAACATAATTAGAAAAATCATTTTTAACTGTTGTAATTCTAAAAGTATTATATAGAAATTTGCAATTACTAAGAGTTCTGATTGTACATATTAGAATGTATAGACTATTTATATACATGATTTATAATGTTACTTTTTTAAATACTTTTATGTTAAATTTTTAGGACATCAATGCAAAACTGAGTAAGAAAAACAGTTTCTTCCTCCTAAGCCATGGCATATCAGTTATACAGAAATACCACTTTGGGAAACAGTCTTCAGGAAAGCCTCGATGAGCTCATACAGGTAAGAGACTAAAAATCAGCATTTTTATTTAAAGGGGTCTATAATAATTCTTGTTATATATCCCTTATTCCAGGCAAAGAGGTTAAATATCTTAGACTATTTGCCCCAGTAAATCAGTATTCAGATTAATAATCTCAAATTCCTGTGCATTTATACCATCTGACTATGGAGCATAAAATGTAATAATGATTGAATGATATAGTTGCATATATCTGAATTTTCAAATATTTTTGTTAAAGATTAGAGTGTTGATTTTCTCATATATATATAAAGGGCATATGCTATGTCGCTTTAAGATAAATTAGAACAATTTTTAAAAGTCTTTTGAGATTTAAATTTGAATTTTGAATTTATATTTCAGTTTCAAGAGAATTAATTTTTGATATGAATCTCTCATCTAAGAACATTAAGTATTTCCATTCATTTTTATATACTTAATGAGCTTCAATAAGATTTATTAGATTTTTTAAAATATATTATTGGTTCTGTGTTTTTTATTTAAAAGAGATGTGGTTTCTTCAATTTATCAATGCTTCTTTCCAGATGCTATGAAGGAATGATAGTCAAAGTTTTGTCCAGGCACTATAACCTCACTGCATGTTTTCTTTTCAAAATATGTTGTATCGAGATAATGCAGGCTGATTGCCTAATTGTCAACTATGGCAAAAGAAAATAAGGGGTGCTAGCTTAGAGGCTCTGGTTAGCCTCAGTGAAATTTTTTATGATAATTCGTGTTTTTTTATTTTGTCTTTAATACTCTTCTGATGTATGACTTTTACTTTTCCTCAGTCTCAACAGATCACTCCCCAACTTGCCCTTCAAGTTCTACTTCAGTTTGATAAGGCTATAAATGCAGCATTGGCTCAGAGGGTCAGAAACAGAGTCAATTTCAGGGTAAGGATTTTTTCCTAAATCTAGAAGCCTGCACCAGTGGTTGTTATTTAACAGTGTTTTTTAGAACCCCTACATATTTATTAGTCATGAAAGGAAGAAATTGCTCAATCAGATTTTGGAACATGTTTTATAATAACAAAATTGTATTTTTACTTAGTACCTTGATACTAAGTTCATCCACTTAACATGAGATACAAAGTTTATTTTAGATTTTTTTATTCGGTTGTTTCACAAATCAGCCTATGTATGTTTGGCTACCTTCCCTGAAGAATTAGTGAAATTTCAAATGCCTGAAATACTATCTGCAGGTTTGAAGGTAAGTGACAGAGTAATCCATAAGGTTATGTTTTTCAAACTCCTGCTCCTAACAAAAAAAAAAAAGAATATCAGTTACACAGGACAATAATATTATAGTCTTAGTGGCTAATATAGTAACTCCCTGAGCTAAGTCACAAGATTAAAATTAATGTTTCTAGGAAATTCCTGGTTTTGTACAGTTGTGGAGAATTAACGAACACAATAATACAGTGGTACCTTGGTTTTCAAATGTAATCCGTTCCGGAAGACCATTTGAGTTTTGAAACATTCGAAAAACTGAGCGATCAACAGCCGCCAGCTAGGCCTCAGGATCTTGCCCTCAGTGGACACCGCGTGGCATGTTCGACTTCCGAGGCGTGTTTGAAAACTGAAGCATTTCCTTCCGGGTTTACTGCGTTCATAAACCGAAATGTTCGTCAGCGGAGACATTCGAAAACCGAGGTACCACTGTACATGTTCTTTTAAAGTGTTGACATAAAAATTCAAATGAACTTTCACAATATAGCCACATGAGGGCAGTAGAAATACAAATTCAAATTTCCATGCAGCTTTCTTCACATTTCAGGTAAGCAATTTACAGACAGTGCTAAAAACAGTCTGCTAACACTCTTAACTCTTCCGTTAGCAAATTTGTCTAGAAATTTTTTTTTGTTAGGGTGAAAATTAAGAAAATCTTAAGCAAGGTAAATATTAAAGAATCATACTATTAGAATTATGTACTTGGTGGCTGAGTCTCAACTTGCTGTGGAGAAAAATATGAGGGAAAATGACTTTTCATGTTATGTCTAAATGTTTTGTTTTAAAGGGCTCTCTAAATACGTACAGATTCTGCGATAATGTGTGGACTTTTGTATTGAATGATGTTGAATTCAGAGAGGTGACAGAACTTATAAAAGTGGATAAAGTGAAAATTGTAGCCTGTGATGGTAAAAGTAAGTGTTCACCTAAGTACTGTGAAAGCAAAGCTACTTGAAATCTTGTTTTTATGAGCCTTTAGAAAATCTCCATCTGAAATTAGGCGGCAAATGGTCAGTGATCCACCCCCAGATAGAGACCTGGCTTCTACCTCAGCTAGATGCTGAATTCCAGATCTCAAAAAAGCCTCTTACTGACTAAATATTTCATGTGACACATAGACTGCTTCTGCTTCCAGATTGAATCTATTGGGAGAGGGGAGGTGGATTTCAGCTGCAGATTTGAAGTGTTTATCGGGCTTTTTTACAACCATCAATTTCTCTAAGGAAGTGTTTAATTTTGACAATTTATTCTATAGTTTCTGTGTTGCTGGATACCTATACATTTTATACTTAAAAAGTGGTTAAGATTTAATTAACCATAAGGACCTTATCAGTCATAATAGGAAATACCCATTCCTGTAATCCATTACATCCATACAGGTGTATTTTCCATAGCAGACCAGGAGACCAGGGAACTTGTTCAGGTCCTTAAATGTTTCAAAAAGTATATAGCTCTGCTTTCTGTTCCATGATTAGTTATTTCCTTTTTGCTAATTGTATTTTAAATATACAGTTAATTTTACTTTATGAGCTGAACCATTTGTTTAAAGCAGCTATTCCTGAAAGTAAAAAGAGAAGACTGTCACTGTGTAAGAAGGGGAGTTTTGAAAAGCAAGAGAAATATAGAAAGTAATACCCTACATTTCTCAGGTTATGGGTTGGGGTTTTTTGTTCTATATACTTTGGGTTTTTAAAGAAATAATCACTGAAAAAATGTAGAGACAACAAAAGTATACAGAAAAAAAATATTTGTGACATCTGGACATAACATATCACTTGTAATGTTTTATTGTATAAACTGGTCTTATATTTTTACAGTAGTATATGTATGCACTTATACACATGTGCAAATATATCATTTTCAAAGTCATTAACTCTTCTCTTAAACCTGATTGTTAATGGCTGCATGAAATTATACCTTCAGCCCTTTTTAAAGAAATAGTCTCTTCCAAATGTCAGAAAGCCTTAGACACTAGCAGTGTTAACTAATCCTTCTAAGAACTTTAAAAGCATATGACTTTTTAATATAGTCGTCAAATACTTACACCTTTTTTGTCATTACAGCAAGAAACAATGTTATTTTATAGTTACTGGATCACAAGATAACATTTCCATATTTCAGATAATGTATATTTTTCACATTTTTTATAATTTATGCTAATACCATTCTCATAACCTTTAGGTTTTTAAGTTTTTGCTAGACTGTGGAATTTGGGCATTAATTTTTAACTTCTAGACCTATCAAAATGAGTTAATGATCTAGCCCAGTACTGTTCCCTAAAACTTTTGTACTGATGGAAATGTATGTTGTCTCCAGTTTTGTTAGGGCAACTGAGAAACCTAATGCTTTAATTTCTAATTAATTAAAGTTAACAAAGTTAAATAACTTTGGCTAGCCAGTGGCTACCATATTGGACAGAACAGGTGTAGACTAGTAGAGTGTCATTTTAAATCATTGGAAACATAGCTAAGAACCAAAAAGTCAGTAAAGAAGGCCTCTGAGTAAATTAATAATATCAGAGTCCAAACATATGTATTTTACTTATAGGAGCTCCCAGTTTCTGGTGGTCTTTGAATATATTACTCTTGTTTAAAGATACAAGTTACCTGTTTTTTCAAACTTAAGTGGATGAAAAGTAGCAGATCGGCCTTACCTATTGCAGTGGTTCCTGAGGAGCTTGCCCTACTTACAACACATTGTAGTAATCTTCAAAGAAAACCTTGTTGAGTGTTGAAGAGAAGCTTAGGTTGTGTACCATGTACTCTGTGTCAGCAGAAAATAGTCTTAGAAATTTTCTTTCCAAAATTAAAAACAAATGGTTTAGCATTTAGAGGCTGAAGTTTAAGTAATTAAGAAAATACCATTCCTTAGGAATCAGATATATGCAGTGCTACTATGAAATAAGCCCATTTTTCCTGAAAGTCAGCTTTCTGAAATAAAGTTAGGTTCCTGATAGAACAGCAGAGAAAAGGTGACAGTGGCTAGAATTTTGGTCTGTTTCTCACCAGGAATTAAGTAATATAATTCTCTTCTGATTATGTGTTATGGCCCTTGTGGTTTAATTTTGGGACAGTAGAGGACCTGAAAAAAATACGGTTGTTAGCAGTTATATAAATCAAATGTAGTGTAACTTGGTTTTTCTGTAGCATAATATGGAGAGCTAAGCAGTGTGTTTTACTTCTGCCTTAAAAGGAAAGTTATTTAAGTCCTCAAGGTATTTCCATGGTCAGCTTCCGTCTTCTTTCCAACCCCTCAAACCATCACCACCATAAGTTCTGTTTTATTTTAAGATACTATTTTAAAAATTAAGTTGCTCAAATTAAGTTGCTCTTTCTCTCCTCTGTTTCCTAGATACTGGCTCCAATACTACAGAATGAATAGAAAAATGGCCTTTTTATGCCATCTTCTGTTACTGTTCATCACTTTTTAAAGAGAAGCATAGAAGAGACTTTATTTATTCTAGCACTGCAGAAATGACTACACTGTGCTATACTATCAGAATCCAGTAGCAAGAAGCTTGTAACTCTGTAGCCTCTTATATTACCTTTACTATAATGGCATGAAGAAACAGAACTTTTTTTTAATGACAAATCAAACGTCGTTGCCTTCCTAATAACATTCTTTAATAAACTCATTTTAAAACTCATTGTGGGTAATAACTGGTAGAGCTATTAAGTTAGCAATGTGAAGATACTAGATAAGCATTTTGAAAGAACACTTTGCTCCTTGCAAAGGAAATTAGAAAATGCATTCATTTCAATAAAGTTAGGTTAGTTTTATCAGTTGTAACAGCTGATTAAAGCATCAGGAGGAGCAAAACCAAATTCTGGATTGGAATTTTACTTAGAAATACCCTTTTTTAAAAGTACAAAACCAAGGATAGTCATCACTGTAAAAAAAAATGCTAAGTACAACTGAATTAGGAAAAGTTACATGATCTTCAGACAGTTCCCATAGCCAAAACAAAACCAAAAAACCTATTTCCAAACAAAATATTCTCCACACAACATGTAAATTATTACTTGAACTGGCCATATTGGTCAAGTTGTATATGTTTTTAAATGATCTACATTTTGCCAGTTTTTAGACTTTTAATAAGAAATCCTACGAAATGTATGTCATATCTTTGTGTACTGGAAGGGAAGGTGTTACCTAGGAATATGTAATGACAAATGTGGCATTTCTGAAACAGCCCAGGAGGAGAATCCCAGGGACAGGGTAGCTGAGCACCTGGGACTTAGCAGCTGCCTACAGGTGCATCAAGATCAACTATTTTTAGTAAGGACCCTGCCCTGCTCATTTAGGGTAGGCTCTTGACAGCCCCCCATCCTGTAGTCAGCCCAATTCAACCCCACTTCAGTGTGCTGAAGCTACAACAAAGAGATGAAAACTGCTGAGAATCAGAGCCGGCGGTAATCTTCAGCAGATGGCTTTTCCTAAACCTGTTAGAAAGTTAAACAGTTCTTCATATTAGACATAGTCCCCCTGTTTCAGTTGTAGAAGCATGTTATGTAATAGGTGTTATTTTTCACTAGATTCCAGAGAGAGAGAAACATCAATGTGACAGAAAAACATCTATGGGCTGCCTCCTGAACACACCCCGATTGGGGATGGAACCTGCAGCCTGGGTATGTGCCCTGACCTGGAATTGAACCTGCCACCTTTTTGGTGTAAGGGATGATACTCCAACCAACTGAGCCACACTGGCCAGGGCAATGGGTATATATTTTTAAGCAACTAATGCTCAAATGATCCATTTAGCAGCACAGAAGAGACTATTTGTAAGATAGTAGCCAAAATGACATTTGGGTGACACCAAGTGCTATATGTCTTACATATATTCTGGATAATCTTCACAGCCCTGAAAAAACTTTGTTCCCTTTTTACAGATTTAAAAATTGAAACTTAACAAATTATAAAAGGTTATATAATTAGGATGTTTTTTTACTGCAATTAGTCAAAATCAAGGTCTTTTACTTTGGAGGTTCCACATCGTGTTTAGGAGACAGGTACGTTGATAGTAAACTTACAGTGGCAGTAGAAATTTCTATTAAGGAATAAGTTACTTTTTAAACTTTTTTCCCTGTTAACAGTCACTGAGATCTCAGAAGTATAGGGCTGGAGTTGTATGCCTGTTTGGGGATTTAAAACCCTGTAAATGATGTCAATAGATTGTCCTTACAATAAACACAATCTATTGAAAATCTCAACTGGGGAAGCAACACATTGACCCTGGGTGAGGAGGCTCTTGGAAGATGGGGTTGCCTGGATTGACCAACTAGCAGGAACGACCACCAAGCCACCTGCGGTGCCACCGCGGCATGTCAGGGTAGCCCTTGACGATCGTAACCTTTCGTGCTTGCAGCTCACTGTGTGGCCCATTCCAGGGTTCTCGCCCTAGCCTTCCTTACCAGCCACCACATAGCTCCAGTTAAGTTTGAAAAAGAAACAAGGTTAGGTCTGAGTTTTTCTTTTGTCTTTGGTTGTGCAGTTTCCTGCATTTCCCATGCCGTTTCTTTCAGAATCAAAATCCTACCCGTCCTTCAAAACTTAAACCCACATGTATCTGAGTGCCACCCACATTGATCTCTTTCCTGTTGATCTCATACAAAGAAATTATCTATATACAGGAGAGAAGGACAGGAGGAACTTGGGTCATTGCGGTGCTCGCTCAGGCACTGACCCAGATAACGGTGTGTGACGCCCGGGGCTTATGCTGCGGTCCCTCAGGAGAAGCCGGTTCCCACAGGTGGGCCACCACACCCACCTGCCTTTGAGTGCAGAGTCGCCTGACGGCTCCTCCTGTCAGTTCTCATTACTTGTATACATGTCCGGCAGCTGACAGTTGTATTTGGTGTAGGTGTCCCGATCTTCCCGCAGTGGTACCCAAGTGGTACTCTGTTTTCTGGACTGACAGAAAAGAGGCACGGCAAGAGCTCACACCACTGTGCTCTCCCATCTGGCCTCCGGCTCCAGCGATGATAAGCTTACTTGGCCTGTCAAGGTGAAAGAAGGGAAAATTCATTAATTTGTCTACAGTCAGGACTAAGAGTAAAAGCTGGGCTTTTTGTAATGAGTTGGTCCTCCACGTGCATTACCAAGTGCTATTTCAATACCCGGATAGTAGACAGGGTTTAATGCCAGACTGGGCATTGTTCGGCTTGTTTATTGTGAGCTGTCTTCAGCTAATTTTATTTCTTGGTAGACCGTAATCAGTGTCATACGGTGTGTGGCCATCATTTTTGAGTGTGTCATAATTAAGTTGCTACTGAGAGTAAAATTCTGAAATTTTAAAATATGTACATATTTTAAATATTTCAACTGGGGGAGCAGTTTGTAGCATACTTGTAAAATTGAGACTCAATAAAACAGTGTAAGGTAAGGAAAAGTGTAAATACGTAAGAGTTTGCAGAGAGGAAGGGAGACATCCCTTGGCCACCTCCTGCATGCCCCCTACCTGGGATCAAGCCCGTAACGCCCTGACCAGGAATCAAACCAGCAACCTTTCAGTGCCCCAGATGACACCCAACCAACCGTGCCACACTGGCCAGAGCCAGCGATACTTTATATGCTGTAATAATAGAATTTTTATTTTCCTAGTGCATTCGTAGGTAGAATTTGCATGGGGTGTGGAGCAAGGCATTTCACCTTACAAGAAGTGCAGGAACTTGAGGACATGCATAAGATTTAGCGGGATTAGCTAAAAAGCATTGTGCAGAAAGACTATCAGCAGCGTTCTCTCCTGAATGCCCTACTCTTATTCTCTGATTCTGTGAACTTCCTAAAGTTCTGCTACAGGAGAAACTGGATTCAAAACTGGTTCTTTTGCCTGTGGACAGAGAACTGAGATTGTTCTTTCCATTGTCCATGCTGGACGTGCGTGGACAGCACTGATCTTTTGGCTGAATGAAGGGACTGGCCACACATGCTCTGTGCTTCCCTCCCTCTGCTTTTGCTCAGTGTTCCCCAAGGTGCACCACAGAGGACCCCAGGTGCTAGGGCGATATCGAGAATGACCGGACAAGGGGAGGCATCGTAAGCATGCTTCCTGATTTCAAATGTATTACGAAGCATACATTTGAAACATACAGAGATCAATGGAATAGAGCCCAGGAATAAACCCACACACATATGGTCAATTAACTTACGGCAAATTAATAACAAAGGAGCCAAGGATACACAGTGGGGAAAGGATGGTCCCTTCACTAAGCCGCGTTGGGGAAACCGGACAGCCACGTTGCTGAATGAAACTGGATTGCTATCTTATACCATACACAAAAATCAACTCAAAATGGGTTAAACACCTGAGCATAAGATCTGAAATCGTAAACCTCCTGGAAGAAAATGGGGTAAGCTCTTTTTTGAATCCTCACCCGAGGATATTTTTCCATTGCCTTTCAGAGTGTGGAAGAGGGAGAGAGAGAAACATCAGTGTCAGCGGGCACACAGATTGGTTGCCTCCTGCACGCACCCCAGCCAGGGCCGGGGATCAAGCCTGCAACTGAGGTACGTGCCCTTGGCCGGAATCGAACCTGGGACCCTTCAGTCCAAGGGCCGATGCTCTAACCACTGAGCCCAACCAGCTAGGGCTGGGGTAAGCTTGGCATTCAGTCTTGGCAGTGATTTTTTGAATTTGACAACAAAAGCAAAAATAAGTGAGACATCAAACTAAAAAGCTTCCTAGCAAAGGAAACCCAACAGAATGAAAAGGCAACCTATGGAATGGGAGAGAACATTTGCAAGTCTTATCTAATAAGAGGTTAATATTACAAAATGTAAACAATTCTTATATAGCATATGTACATACACAAATCAAAATATGGGCAGAGGATCTGAATTGGCATTTTTCTGAAGACAACATAAGTTGCCAACAGGTTAGAATGGCTATTATCAAAAGAGGTAAGTGTTGGCAAAAATGTAGAGAAAACAGAAGCTTTGTACACCGTTGGTGGGAATATAAATTGGTGTAGGCGCTACAAAAAACAGTATGATGTCTCAAAAAATTAAAACTAGAACTACCATATGATACAGCAGTTTCACTTCTGGGTATATACCCAAAAGAATTGAAAGCAGAGACTTGAAGAAACATTTATACACCCATGTTTATAGCAGCATTCACAACAGCCAAAAGGTGGAAGCAACCCAAGTGCCTATCAATGAATGAATGGACAAACAAAAGGTTATATACACAGCCCAGCCAGCATGGCTCAGTGGTTGAGCGTCAACCTGTGAACCAGGAGATCACAGTTCCGGGCACATGCCTGGGTTTCAGGCTCGATCCCCAGTACGGGGTGTGCAGGAGCAGCTGATCGATGGCTCTCATCATTGATGTTTCTCTTCCTCTCTGAAATCAATAAAAACTTTTTTTTTTAATGTTATATACACATACAATGGAATATCATTCAGCCTTAAGAGAAATTCTGACACATGCTACATGAGTGAACCTTGAGGACATTAACAAGCCAGTCAAAAAAGGCAAATGTGTGATTTCACTTATATAAGGTACCTGGAGCAGTCAGGATTGAGAGAGAGCGGAATGGTGGTTGCCAGAGACGGGGGTGGGAGAAT